ACACAAGAACATCGTAATTACAGCTCGATAAAAGCAAGTGAAGACGGGATATTTTGGTACTCAGGCCTCTAAGATTCTGGTAAAATACCGAAAATAGGCGTTCCGACATACCATTTAAACTGCTCTCCACTGGTAACGTAGAGCCGGGAGCTTCCGTGGTGCGTTAGTTGACAGATAAGCCCGCATTCGTTGATAAGCTGCAATTGAAATCGACCAATGTCACAGGAAGTAAACTGTTTGAAACGTCTGCATACTTGCCAGCAATGGCGGCTTGGAAGACCCCTTCCCCGCACTCATACACAGGACCGGAGGGGCTGCAGGGTGCTGACAGCAATGGCTCGGCTGTGACGAGGAGTTTAGGGGCTTCCATAAATCTTGCAGGCGTGCATCCCGGTGGCTTGAAGAATACTGATGAAATAGTTGTCACTGATTGGGTACGATTACGTTTATTGGCTTCCGTATGACACCACTGCATCGAAAGGGGTTGACGTTGAACCACTAGAAATGGCAGACGTTACCGGAGGTAAATTGTTCTTTAGAGTGTTTCAGCGTTATATGGAAAAAAAAGTCAAAGTCTGGAATTTCAAACGCTACCCTCTGGAATAGTAGTTTGGGGGGTCAGAATCACCCTGCCAAAATTTGAAGTCATTTGGTTCACGGGAACCCCTCATTCAAACGGCTTGAAGTTTGTATGGGGAATTTCGTCAAAATGTATGGGGGAGCGAGCCACTTTCACATTCGCGATTCTAGGTGGCGCTGTAGTGGGTCTATTTTCTCCGTGTACAAAATGTAGCATTTTTGGAGTATTGGGAACATCTTGGGAGGGCCTAACGCGCTTGTACAGTTTTTATTTTTACGAACAGGTATACGAATAGCAATGTTTGCATAGGTATAACTTTTTTGCTTAACCATGAAATTGGTTGAAATTTTCACAGTGAGTAGAAAAATGTTCGAAATTATGGTCTACTAAAAATTGGAACAGATTGGCCAAGTGGTTCCGGTTTTATTCCGGGTTTCCGAGAGGCCATCGGGGGGAGAAAAGGTACCAGTCGTCTAGAACAAGGTGGTGCTGGAAATCCACAGCAACAGGCATCTATGGGTAGTGCTGATTAATATTTTAACAAAATCAACCCATAACCTGGTTCTAAATACTGAGCGCCCACCGGAAGGCCTTCCGATGACCCGGATCAACCTTAATCTGGATTAATATGTATTTTTGATCAAAGTAGGCCTTGATTATTCTCTGCAACTATATGAAATGTAGTAAATTAATGATTTTAGATATATAAGCATTTCAATGGCTCCAAGTGGTCACCAGATGATCCGCCGGAAGATCCGAAACATCCGTAAAATTTAGTGCTACATAAATTCGATCAAAGTATCGTGATTTTTCTCTGCAACAATGAGAAATGTTGTAAAATGGTGATTTTTTATGCGTTAGCTGTTCAATGGCTCCGACTTATCACCAGATGGTCCGCTGGTAGATACGGAACATCCGTAAAATTGATTGCTGTGTAAATTAGATCAAAGTAGGCCTTGATTTTTTTAGCTACACACTTAGAAAAGTTCATGTAAATTTAGGTGCTCTGAGAGTGACATATACGAGCGTCAAGTTTGACATAAATTTGAGTCATAACAGACGCGAAATATAGCTCAATCACACGTACTTTTCGTCGAGCAACGAACTTTTCAGTCTCGGAGCACTTAATATTAGATGACATGTTTGTTTACTTCTCATATTTTATGTCAAAGACGGATTCCGTCACGTGTAAAATTAGTTATTTCTAAGTGTGTAGTCATTGGCTCCAAATGGTCACCAGATGACCCACCGAAAGATCTGGAACATCCGTAAAATTGGTTACTACGTCAATTTCATCAAAGTATGCCTTGAGTTTCTCGTAGAACTTGCGCGTTTCGTGAGAACTATACAGATGCTGCATTCCTTCGCACTTCAGCTCTTCCAGGCGGCGCTTCTGTTTGTATCACTCCACATTTTGGCGGTTTCCTTGGTGCAGTATCCTCGCCCGCGCTGCGTTCTTCTCGTCCAAAACCGTCTGACACTCTTCGTCGAACCAATCGTTCCGTCGATTCCATTCCACAAGCTTTCACGTTGTTCCAGCAGTCCTCAAGAGGGGCTTCGGTGAGCTCTCCTTCATCGGGCAACGCTGCGTCGAGGCATTGCGCGTAATCAGTTGTGACTTCGGGCAGCTTCAGTCGCTCCAGATTGTACCGGGGTGGACGTCGGTACCGAATGTTGTTGGCAACGGAAAGTTTTTGGCGCACCTTAACCATTAGAAGGTAGTGGTCCGAATCGATGTTTGCGCCGCGATAGGTCCTGATGTCGATAATGTCCGAGAAGTGCCTTCCGTCGATCAAAATGTGGTCGATTTGCGATTCTGTTTGCTGTGGTGATCTCCAGGTGTGCCGATATGCTGGAAGTAGGTACTGGTAGGTATGGCCATGTTCTTGGAGGCGGCGAAATCGATGAGTCTGAGGCCGTTGGCGTTTGTTAGCTGGTGAGCGGTGAACTTTCCTATAACCGGTCTGAATTCCTCATCCTGGCCGACCTGAGCGTTAAGATCTTCGATAACGATTTTGACGGCATGGCTTGGGCAGCACGTTGATTATGCTGACATTGAAGCAGCCTTTGATCCTCAACTTGCATATCCTGCTATCGATTGGCCACCACCCAATCACGCGCTTCTGCATTTCGCCCATCACGATGAAAGCTGTACCCAGCTCATGTGTATTGCGGCAGCTCTGGTAGATGGTATAACCATCCCTATACGTATGTACCGACGTTCCTTTCCAGCAAACCTCCTGCAGCGCTAAGATGTCAAACATGCGGACCCTCAATAAATCGGAAAGAATGGGGTACTTCCCAAGAAATTGCGAGAGCAGTTCTATGTTCCGAGTTTCCAATCTTTAGTCCGTTTTCGTTGCCTGGGCCTATGCCGATTATTCCGGTCCGTATTCACGTTGCTTTACTTTAGTTCTTTTACGGCTGGCTTGTAGGGCCTGCACCAACCCCCATTGTCTCGCCGGAGGACCATCGTGCAAAGAACTGTTTAGAGTCCCACGCTGGCACCAGGTCGTTGATCAGCCACGTGGAGAGCAGGCGCCGTTTTGAGCCGCACCTCCATGGTGAATAGGCGCTCGAAGACTGCTTACTCCGGGGAGAGGTGGTATTAAATACTTCTAAAGTTTGCATTTTTCATAAGCTTGATTTGAAAAATAAATTATAAATATTGAAGATGCACTTTTTTAACTATTTCAGTTTTTAATGTTTACTCAAAATTACAAAAACAAAATTACTGTGTGATTTTTTTCTAAAATTACTTAATTTATAAACAACTTTGTCTAAGACGTCATTCCGATCAGAATTGACGTTCTAGTGCTGCAATTCTAGTGAAAATATCAAAGACGCCATTTTGGAAAAAATACAAGATTCAAAATGGCTGAATTTTTGCAAAAATATGAATGATTGCCTATAACACATAATTATGCAAACGTTTCATGCAAATCGGAGAGGTTTGGAACTGGTTTATAGCCTAAGTGAATACTGACTGTAGAGAAAAAAAAAAATAAAATTTATTAATTTAAAAATTTAACAAATACACCAGTAACAAGCACTTATATTTCTATCCATCAAACGTAGGTCCCTAACGCCATGTGTGTGTGTTTATACAATCCATCGGCCACCGAACCGGCAGTGTTTTTATGGAAGAAACCTGTCTGCATCTATCCTGTCATAGGTGCAAACATTTTTAGCCCTGGAGATGGAAGGTGGCAGCTCTATTGTACATTCAGTGACCCATTTCAAGAATGCCTGCCACGTACATTCTGAGGTCTCCTTCATATACAATAAGCCCCGCATGAACACATCGATGTATCAATTGGATACATGTAATGCATTCACACTTCCAGAATAAAAAAAAAAAACTTTTTTATTCTGGCGCGTATTTAGTTGTAACAATTTGAAATTTATGTGAATAACACATTTAATAAATAACACATAACAAAGTTTTAAAGCATTCTATGGGAGGACAATTTTGCTGAAGTATTAGTTTATTCGCGCCTTTTAAATCATTCGGCTTGAGCTCATGATAAGTTCCACCAAAACGAAACACATGAAGATATGCTGGACGTTTCGTGCATGGGAATACTCTAAAAAGCACTTAAAAAATTGCCTCGATTATAGCCAAATATCTTGGATTTTGAAGCATATCAACTTTAAAAGATGTCGAGAAAGAAAAACTAAACCCCTGCACTCAGTTTAGGACACTATAATAGTGTCGGAATCCATTTTCCATACAATTTGTTTTATCACTTCGCATTTACACGGGCACACATCTTCTTAATGGAAAAAGTTAAAAAAGAATCGACACATTTGCTGCAGAGGATTTAATTTGAGAATTAAAATGTACTTTTGGTCCGAAAATTGTTTTTATCCGGGAAATGTCGGATAACTCTCGATCATAAGGAACATGATGTCTGTCTGTAAGTATAGTTATCATCTAGTTTTGAAAAAAAAATATTCAACCCAATCATTCATTTCAAGAACAAGTTTCACATTTCACACCTATAAATTGAACCCTGCAAAAATTCTCCAACCCCGTTCACATCACAACTAAACGGCTTTTAGCGCCTAAAGACATTGAAGCCATCACCAGCGTCCCCGGAAATCGTTGCACCTTTGAGCAGAGCTTGTTCAAATGACAGTGACTCGTTTTCCGAGCTCGTTGGAACATTCGATTCACCTGTACAAAGCAGCATCCGAGAGCTCATTTCCTAATGAAAGCCAACTCCCGTTACTAACTAAACTCTTCATCAAGAGGAGGCACCTGGCCTCCATTTAGATATACATATAGACCAACCCACACCTGTCGCCTGCACCCACACGCATTCCACTCCGTTCCGCCTCGTCAATTACCGTAATTGATTTTGCACTATAACATTGCCACCATTTCTTGCCCTTTCTCCCACGATCCAAAACGTAGAACTTTACCGCCTCCACCAGTGACCTAACGATACTGCCACCGGCCAGTGGTGGTGGTGGTGGTGGTGGTCTGCAAAAATCGGCCACGACAACGACCATTCCGATGTCGACGACGACGGCAACATCGACGACACTGGCTGCTGGAACGGAACTCAAGACCGGAATCTGCAATAACGACTCTACTGCTGCCGGCACATTCGAGTTCCGTGGCGTCTATCCGGAAAACAACTACATCGAGGTAAGTGCTGAATGAGTGAGAGTGCGCAAATATGGAACCAGGCTGATTCGAGGGGTCAGGGAGAATTGGTTAATTGTACCTACGATTCTCGATTGTTTGTTTGTCTGTATGCTTGGGAAACTTTTTGAACTACCATCCCTCCCAGCGAAAAGCATCCCATTTGTGGCAGCAGATAACTAGCGCCACTTGCAACTACCATGCTAGTTAATTAGCAGAGTCACAATTTGTTCGATGCACTCTGTATGCTCTGGGTAATTATGAAAAAAAAAGTATGAAAACAGGTGGATTTGAATTTTTTGAAGCATGCAATTCCAAACATCATCATCATGTGTTTGTTTTCTTTGAAAGCATGCTATCTCAATTGCTGTATCATTTTTAAAGGAAAGCAAAAAACTCCTGCTGAAAGGTACTCCACAGTCATATGCTTTAATCTATATTCACTTTGTTCGGGGATGGAACGAGCCGCACTATGATATTTTGTGGTAATGGAATTTTTAATTCACTCCTTCCAGTACTGCTCTGGTTTCCCCAGCCTGAAAAGAGGATCGTTTCAGCCATGGATTTTCAGTGTGATGAACTTTCTCTGTTCTTACGTTATGATTGAGAGTAGCAAGCAGGTGGATGAGCTGTGATTCATTCAATGGAAAAGAGATGAGATTTTTTTCTGAAGTTTGCATAGATTATTTCCTGGAGTATTTTCAGATGCATTCAGTGGAAACTTATCATGTTTGCGTGTATTTTGAAATTTTAAATATTAACAGGACCACCCTAATGACAAATAATTGAACCACCCTAGTAAAAAATCGTAAACCAATTGCTAGTGAAATTATATTCAAGTGGCTTGGAGGTACTTGTGAATAGTTTTACAATACAAATCGTCAATGTTACAGTGGTTCAAGAATGCAATCTAGCGGGACAAAATTCTAATAATAGTTTCGGCATCCGACGTCATTATGAAATCCAAGTTTAATTTAGTGAACTAAAACGTAATACAGCATATGGTACCGAAAATGTGTATTGCAATGAGGAGTAATTCAATGTAATATAGTGTTTTGTAGCGTAATTTAGCATACTTTATTGTTGTTTAGTTGCAATAATGTGAAATGTATTTTTTACGATAGCCCTGTATACGGAAGCGTAGCTAATCAAGGTTGTTACCCTGCCGTTATTTTTTTTAATTCGAGGTGCGTAGCGAAGAGCAAGACTAAAATTTAAGATCATTATTGGACTCAATGCACAGTGGGGATTCTCCATACAAGAAGGTAGCCAAAAATATTTTCGTGCTTTTTATGCTACTTACTTAAATGATCTATATTTCTTGAATGTGTGTGGTTTACATGTATAACTTATCAAGTGACACAGATGCGTCTTTTCAACTTTAGTTCCTGTGAAATTTCAATTATTATTAATTACAGTTCCTAGTCCTATCAGGCCTGTTTTAGAGAATGACCACCTTGGTGGGATTGGTTTGTTTGAAAATTTGAAAAAGGAGACTACTTATAACTACTATTTACAACTACAACTAACCTACAACTACTATGTACACCTAACCTACTATATACAAATTGCTTATCAAAGCATGTTCTGATAAATTACATTTTTGTGCGAATTTAGTCTTAATTTCGTTAATTTTGGAATCTATTTTGGCAATGCCTGCCTCTTCTTGTAAATTTGTTATTCTAGTGTCGAAAGGACGATCAAGAACCATCCTCAGCACTCTATTCTGAGCGACCTGAATTTTGTTCCTGTGAGTCTGTGCACATGATTCCCACACCGGAGCTGCGTAGAGGATCGCAGGTGCTATGATTTGTTTGTAGACGGCCAGTTTGTTCACCCTTGAGAGGCGGGATCTGCGGCAAATCAGCGGAAACAGACACCTAACCAAGGTAGAACACTTAACTACAGTTTTCTCTACATGCGAACGGAAGAGGAGCTTTTCATCGAACAACATCCCGAGATAGGTAACTTCGGTAGACCACTCAACCCTTGTGCCATCCATGATTACAGTACAAGATGGAGCCGGTTTCAGTTTGGGCGATTGCCGATGGAGGAACATGATCGTTTGTGTTTTGGTGGCATTGATTTTGATTTTCCACGTGGTGGCATAATCAGCAAAGGCGTTAAGGCAGCGTTGAAGTTTGTTCGTTATTTCGCGAGGCATCCTTCCTTTGACGGCTATTGCAGTATCATCTGCGAACAGGAAAAACACGCAACCGTCACCGAGGGGAGGAATGTCGGAAGTGTAAATGCTGTAAAGCAAGGGGCCCAGCAGACTACCTTGCGGGACTCCTGCTGGGATCGAAAACGTGTCTGAGAGACAACCATTCAACGATACCTTAAACGACCTTTGCTGGAGGTAGTTACGGGTGATTTTAATAAGATGTAATGGAAAGTTGAAGTTACAAAGCTTGTACACAAGTCCATCATGCCAAACATTGTCAAACGCCTTTTCAACGTCTAACAAGGCCATGGCTGTGGACTTGGATACAGCTTTGTTACTTTGGATGTTATTCATCACCCGTACTAGCTGATGATTGGTGGAGTGCCCCTTTCTGAATCCAAACTGTTCCGGAAGGAGAATGTTGCTTTCCTCGACAAACTTGAGCAAACGATTGAGAATGAGTTTCTCGAACAATTTGCTCAGCGCTGAAAGGAGGCTGATAGGTCTGTAGCTTGAAGACAATGTTGGATCCTTACCGGGTTTGCGGATCGGTATGATTTTTGCTACTTTCCAGATGCTTGGAAAGTAGTGCAGTTCCAAACATCTGTTGAAGATAGCGGTTAGAAGAGACTGCACTTTCATGCTGAGTCTCTTTAAGATCAAGTTGAATATACCGTCAAACCCGGGAGCCTTCATGTTCTTGGTGCATTTCAGCGCTGAGCAAATTTGTTGTACTGTAATCATATCCGCCGGAGGCACGACACAAGGGGAGGTATCTAGGTTTTGAACGCATTGCGCAACCTGATCATCGAGCGGACTTTGGATAGTCGAGCCAAGCAAATGCGATGAAGCGACATGCTCGCCGATCGCATTTGCTTTCTCCTGTGGGGTAATTAAAAGCCGATCGTCATCATTTTCGACTTTGAGAGGTGGAACGGGTTTGGGATGATTTTTAAGGACCTTGGCTACCTTCCAGAATGGTCTGGAACGGTCATCCAGATTTTGGACAACACGCCCGAAACTTTCATTTCGGAGTGAGTCCATTCTGGAAGCAATCTGCCTATTCAGATCGGCCATTTCACGTTTTTTGCCCAGATCTCCAGTCCTCTGAAACTGGCGTCTACGAACATTTCTCAACCGAATCAGTAATTGGGTGTGGGAATCAATAGCAACAAACTTACCCCTTACAGGAACTTGTCGAACGTATGCCTCGTCAGCCATGGATATGGACTGTTGGAGCCCTTCCAACGTCCGGTCGATGTCATCTACGGTGTTGAGTAGTGGATTTTCATCGATGTTGCTGTCCACCATTCGTCCGTACTGCACCCAGTTGACATGGTGGTAGTCTTTACGCAGGCAGCCTCTAGCAGGAACCACGTTGACACCGACTTCAGTCACCACCGGTTGGTGGTCGGAGCTGAGATCGTTGTGCGCCTCCGGCTTGGATAGTCCGATGTTTGACAGGAAAAAGTCCAGCGTGGAGGGATTTCCCGCCGGAGAGATGAAAGTTGGTTCGTCCGGAAATTGCACAGTGTACAGACCATGTTGTGCGTGGTCGAACAATAGACATCCGTTCCGGTTCCTCTGGTAGTTCCTCCAAGCTTCATGGCGGGCGTTCAGGTCGCCCCCAACGATGAATCGGGAGCTAGTACGGGTGATGGCGGTCAGGTCCTTCTTGGATTGGATTCCTAATCCGTTGCTTGCGGTACACTGGCGTGGGCAGTAAACAGCGATGAACCGGACGTTTCCAGTTGGTGATTCCACCTCCACACTAATGGCCTCGATGATAGAAGTGCGGATGTGGGGCAGAGTGCAAAACTTGATTCCCTTTCTGACGATGACCGCTACACCACCCCCCCTGGAGCTGGTGCGATCAAGCCGGATAATGTTGTGGTCAGGCAACCAGAAGCTGTCACCGAACTTTAGGTGGGTTTCGGTTAGAAGACCCACGTCGATGCTATGCTTGCGGAGGAAGTCGGCAAGCTCAATCTGTTTAGCTCTTACAGAGCAAGCGTTCCAGGTAGCGATGGTTAGCGGTTTAGACACCATATTGGATGATGAACTTACCGAGCACTTGGATCTGTTCGGGCTTATTGCGGCACTTACGTAGAGCACCGGTCATGTTTAATTTAATTTATTTTCGGTGCGCTGGTGGTTGTCTCCAGAATCCAGGGGGGGGATGGAGAGCTTTGGCCAGCAGAATCACCAGAAGTTGCTTGAGCGGAATGCACCCGCGAATTCGCTTGCCTTTGCTGAGGAGCACGAAGAGGCGGGAAATCCTCCGTCCGAAATGCCGGGACTTTGTCCTTCTTGCGTCCTGGTTGGTTGTTAACTGCCGCCTGTTTTCGGATGCGTTTGAAGTCCTCGCGTTTGGAGCACTGTCTGTCGGAACCTTGGAGGCCACAGTTGGCGCATTTTAACGCCACGGCTTCATCCGCAGGGCAGTCGGAAGTAGCATGGTCTTGAGCGCAATTGCCGCAGCGTGGCTTAATGTTACAGTTGCGGGTGCCGTGTCCAAAGTTCAGACACCGTTGGCAATGAGTCACATCACGATGGCCGCCACGGTATGGCTCCCAGCGGACGATGATGCAATTGATGGAGCGGATGGCTTTCAGCGCGTTGAGCGTCACCGTTCCCTTCTGGAAGTGTACCAGGAAAAGGCAATCCGGATACGCCTTCACATTCTCGTCTCTTCTTGTCATCCGATAGACGGCACTTGGGGCCAGCTTGTACCGGTCCCTGATTTCAGCTTCGATAAACTTCGGGTCGAAGTTTGGCAGGCCCCTGATGACGACCTTGAATGGTTTCTCACCGGGAATGTCGTGGGTGAAGAATTCCA